TTGGCATCGGTTTGAACATCCTACAGCGTCAGTTCTTTTGGCTGTCAGCTTCATGTCGCGATCTCAAATGGAGACCTTGGTTCGGTCAACTCGTGTGGCCTCTGTTGTACTTGAAGCATCGTTGCATCTTTGCTTGTTCGCTTTTTCGAAACCCGGTCACGAAATGTTGGTTTCGGGCAGCAACCGACCTTCAAATGATAATCTGGGCAGTGTGAGCATCGCGAGACCCGACGATTTTGGCTCACTCACGACTGGCATCAAGTCGCCTCAAGGTTTGCGTTCTGCCGCGATAGAGTCGGAGTCAGGATATTTGGATCGCTATATCCTGTTCTGTGGCGCACCTAAGCAGAGATCACCCCAGGAACGCTTGTGTGACATCACTGGTGACAGCAAAGCAGGGGCGGAGCCAATTCAGGCTTGACGGAATCCTTTCTGGAGAGCACATCGCCGACAAACATCGCATAGACTCCCAGAACCAAGGCCTGGAGAAGAGCCTGGGCGACAGTCGCCGTCTCTTGCTCACTTGCGCCTCACCTGCTGCCCAGTTGCCAGAGGTGTCTGCGAGGTGAACTTGATCGAACAAGTCCGGCCGTGGCCGTCACACCTTTCAGACCAGACCCCACCATGCCCTCTTCGGCCATACCGCGATCCCCTCTTGCTCTTGCCCAAAACGGAATAGCTTGCTGCTTGCGGAACAAAGGGCATCACGTCACGGATTGCAATGGACGCCGGACTGCTCGTCACAAAGACAGAATTCCCACACATCGCAGCTACCACCATCATCCTGAGATCCACAGCGTCTCAGAGAGCACCGAAACATACCAAAGCCATGTTACACTTCACCCTCGTACAAGACCCAAGAGATATCTAAGCCTTAGAAAGTGCGCCAAGTTTCAAAAGCAGCGGACGCACCTTGAAGTCATGACACTTAGCCCATTGGATGATCACCGGCGTTGCTGTTGCGATGGTGGCCGATGCGCCCACAATCGCCTTTGCTGCGCATTCAACGGCTGGATTATCCAGCTGCCTTGACAAATTGAGGTCGCAGCTTTAATCGAAATGTTTCGAAGGAAACTTTGGTCAACCAGACCACAAGAGTTTCAGCAGCTTATGTGCTGCAAAGCTGCTCCCAGACACAGAGTTGCACTGTACAGGCGCAAGCGCGCAGTGCCTCCCACTGACGGGTTTTTTGACACTCGCACTCGGACAAGCCTGGCAACTGACGGATTACAATCGTGTAACGGTCAAGTGCAGCATGTCCCTGCAGGTCGATTTCTATCGTTTGCAGGTCGACCCGAATTCTTGCGTTGAACAGTCTGTCTCGTCTGTTACACTGCCCTGCACGTGTTCTTGCAGCGCTTGGTGGCCCTGTGAGCTCATCCTGTAGCCGTACAGTAGCCCTTGCTTCTGGTGGTAAGAACGTGAACACATGTACTCAGAGGAAACATTCAGATTGCGGCAGCGCCTTTCTCGGGAGTTCGGCCCAGCATCCGCAACAAAGTGAACTCCATTATTCCTGCCCAACCGCGAGGACTTCGCAAAGGCATGGGAACTCGTCCATAGCGGGAAGAGATTTTGGCTACAGGAGAGTCGACGTGCTCTTCAAATCAAGCACAATTCCCCGCATACCTCCCTCGATCTCCCTCGGCTCCTGAGCTGCTTATCCCACGGATGATGACGAGCTGCAGCTGTGGCAACCATGGCCCGATCCTTCGGAGAGCGACTCGCCTCAGACCTGGCCTGAACCCAACGCCCCTTGAACCAGGCTTCCGGGAGAAGCCGGAGACAATATCTCTATATGTCAGCAAGCCCAGAAGTGCGAGAATGACCAAGTAGCCACAGAACCTCCGCTGTGGAAAAGCTAGCACTTCTGCAGCTGCACAAAAACAGGTCACACGCAGACTGTCCGCGGGTGTATGAACCGCACCGACAGAAGTTGGACCAGTATGAAAAAACTGCCAGGCGACACAAACGAAGCACGCACCCCATTCAACAGTTGCGTCAAGCAGAAGATCAACGATAGCAGAGTCCTGCAAGTGTAGACGTGCATGGCGACTGCATCACATGTTAAAAAAGAAATCTTCTCGCCAAGTGCATCCGGTCATGTACGCAGCCCCTCGCGGGTGCTGCAAGCTGGGGTTTCCCGACATGGAGCCGGGCTTCAGCATGGCCTCCGTCAACACCTCAAGTGCTTCTTGCATGGCGTAGGCATGATAGCAGGTGGCGGTGCCAGATGTGTGTACATCTATGCCAAGAGAAACTGAGGATGGGGCAGCAAGAAACACGGCAGAAACGTTAGTGACAATTAGCCAAGGTGGGAAAGCGACAGACAGCTTGCCCTTAGCTGCGGTGTAATCCGTGAGATATGGCGACGCAGAAGCACGGCGTGCGCGGCTGTGGGCCGAGGCTCTGCCGACTCGTCGACAGGCCGCTGGACTGCAATCTGAGCCGTCTTCAGTGCATTGAGAAGGCGCAGAGCGTGATCCACGCGAGACAGCGAGCTTCGGCGGCTCGCAAAGGTACTTGCGCTCTGCTCTTCCCCCAATGGGTCCCACAGACCTGTGTGTAAACCACACAACACCGCATAAACGAGGAGAGCTGCGACACAAAATTAACAGGAAAGTCAAGGGAGTGATCCTCCATGCGTCGACATAGCCACGCTTCGGCCAGCTGTCCATTCCACACATGGCCCGAGGCGTGCTCAGGAAGGGAATACTTCAGGGTTGGGCTACTGCCATGGAGCCAGTGGTTTCGGGGGCTGCAAAAACCTTTACGTGGTGAGGCAAAGTACAACCCAGCTTCTCAGAGAGTGTGCTGCTTCTGTCACTGTCCCAGCATGATGGCAGGTGCAAGCCAGCATCTGGCTGTGATGGCAATGCAGTGAATCTAAACTACTGCACTGTGTACTTAAGGTGTACTTGATTCAGCGTGGAAGGCGCACAGTTTCCGCAATTCGGCAGCGGCTTCCGCTTGCCAGTCCGAGGGCAATGCCAACTGGATGAAAACATTTCGGTTCCCCCGCGCTGCACTGCGTGCAGGTGCTGGTGCACCTTAGGTGGCAGGATAGGGACGCTTCTGACACGTGACTGCCGCTCAATTAAATTGAATAGTTCGCAAGGAGCGCGCCGGCGCTTGCACCAACGGACCTGGCATGCACCGCCAGAGTTGGAGCCATCCGACAAGATGCACCAGTCTCCAAGTCGACATGCATGCAGAATCAAACAGCCAAACTGAACCCTTGGCTGGCCGCTTTCCAGCACATGTGGCTTTTCTTGCGCGCTTCTTGATCGTACCCGGTTCTGCTTCAGCAATTGATGGCGACGTGCCGTAGACACAAAACAGTCCAGTCGAGCAAGTGCCGTATACTCTAAAAACTCGACGTTTCCGATGATCCCAGGTACAGGTGAGGTTTTCGCCGAGTGGCTGCCCTTGCCTGTCATGGTGGGCTACTCCTTCCCTGTGGTGCTACCATGGAGCTTCGGTGGAAATCCTCTGCTTAGCTCCATACTCTCCCATCTCTCCCGGCCGGTTCCCCAGTGTGATTTATCCACTGGCTTGGACAAGTTGACCTCCACCAAAACGTTCCCAAATCAAGACATATATAGACAAGGACCCGAAGAGCCAGGCAAAGTGGCTAAAGCCAGCATTAAGCATGTCTTGCTAGATCAGGCAGCATGCTCAACACAGGCCTTCGTAAGTCAGGACGGCTGCAAGACTTCTTTTTGCCACTTGTGGTCGACTGGGCCACAAGACTTCTTAGACATGAGCCGAGGCGAGGATAGTTAAGTGCCAGAACACTCGGCGCGGGCACTTGCGCCTGCTACGACTTGGGTTCCTGACGCTTAAGCAGTGAACGAGTCAGGACATGCAAAGCTTTCCAGCAACGAATGGAAGGGTGGCTGCATAGCAGTGCTTCGGAGAAGCTGCTGGTAATTGGCCTGGACAGTGAAGCTCGCACTTTGATCCCTCCATATCCCTCCTCCTTCGTCGACTTCCGACTACATTGCTTGGCCTCTGCTGACTTCAGAGACTCCTGCTGCTTGGCGTGAGTCTCCTGATACGGCTATTCAAGCAACCAAAGCCGGTAGCCGATTTCGGCATCTGCAGTCCTTCATCTCCTGGAGCTCTTTGTGCAGCCCGGCCAGCTCCTCATCCCGCTGGCTCAGCTGGCTGTTGAGACCCCTGGCACGGAGAGAACACTGCAGGCGGATTGCAGAATCGCACTTCACCACGTCATGAGCATCAAACATCCCTCACCCATGAATTGGGCGGCTCGACTCCATCTTTTCCGCCTCAACCACCGTCTTGGATTGATCCGCCTGAGCCATCCGAATTGCGATCCGTTTCCGTGAACAGTTCAATTGGCTTGAGGCCGGCGGCCGGTGCGTTTAGATCGGCTCGTTGGAACCCCTTACTCCCGCCCCCTCCAGGGCCCTCACCGTAAATCAGCTCCTGCTTTTCGACTTGTTGGTTCAATTTCGCGGCGATTTTCACAGTTTTATCGCGAGTTCCCCCAGGAGTTTGGGCTTGGGTCCCAACAGGTGTGTTTGCTGAATGTGGTGTTTGGGCCTCACCCCCTTTCTGCGTTCCTCCGCCTGGTTCTTGTGCAAGGAACCGCATGCCCCAGACTCGCTGAACTCGCTGCGACGTCTTCTCACGTGCTCGGCGGCTGAGCAGATCCGAGCCATCCACAGCCAACTTGGCAGCTTCAGCCGCCTGCACCTTCATTTCCTTCTAAGACATATGCCATGCAACGGGTCGGAACGAAGCAAGGCAGCTACAGTACTGTTACTGTAACGAGCTGGCAAGTGCTCCTCGAATTGCTGCTGCATCTGCTGCAACATCTCCTGCGAATCCAATCGTGCTTCCAAAGTGCACTGAAAACGCCGTACACCAAAGGAACGTGCCTCGAGATGCTTGACTTTATTTGACAGCGTCTTGTTCTCTGACTGTAGTTGAAGTTGGTGAGCCTGCGGCACCATCTCGTAGCGACGAGCATAAGCAAGCATGGTTACTTGATAGACACAATGCCTCCATTTCCTCGTTGTGCTTTCGCATTTCGGAAGCCTGTCGGAAGCCCGGAACGTAGAAGCAGAAAGAGCGACAAAGACATTCATTTCCGCGCGACCCACAATCACTGTGCACAGCCACTCTTACCAGATCAACATCACAGTAGCAACCCGAATACCCAATCATTCCCTAGCACAGGGCGTCCCCTAGCAAGTCGGCACATATACATTGCAACTACAAGCCTCAGCATTCTTGCCATTGTTTACACACACACACGCGCACACACACACACACACACTTGTCAGTCCGCACGTGGCTGTGAAAGTGGTGTGCTTGCCACCTGGCTGTTAAAAAGATAATTTCGAAACCATGTGCGAACGGTGCACAACGTCGCTGGACTCGAACTTTGCCAATCCCCATAAATACCCCATATCTAAAGTATCTAAATTCATGACGAGGTCAATGCCTTCGTAGAACATCACCTGGCTGGTACACAGAGCACGGGGTATTGCATGTGTCAACAAGCGGAAGCATCGCAAGTCGCTTCGCTGTGGCGATTCACCCGCAAACACCCACAAAGCCTTCAAGGAACCAGTGGCAACAACGAAAGCTGCTCCACACGATTCCAGATCCACCGGAACCATTTAGTTTCCGTCTGGATCTGTGGCACTGTCTTTGCCTCATCTTCTGCAACTTGTTGCAGGCTGGGGTCTGCTTAGGCATTGGTCGTCCGACTTTCGCTTGTTTGGTGATGCACCTTCCGTCAGACGATGTTCTGACTCGGTATTAACATTCATGTCGGGAAGTCATTTTACTGAAGCCCATGGACTTTGTGGAAGTGCAGCCTTATTTCCAAGATGAACTGCACATCTTGCAGAGATGCATGTAAGACAGCGCCGACACGATGAAGGGCCAGAGACTGTCTATCAGGCATGCGCTTGTGGTGGGGCAAAGTGGATCCGGCAGCCAAGCCTGCCCTGGAAACATCAGCCGGCCGTGATGATGAATTTACCAACAAAGCGCACAAAGCTTTTCAGGGTTCCAATCAAATCTGAAGAGGAACATGTCCAGGCATTGCAAAATGGAGTTGTGGGAGTTCCAACATCAACATGAACAAGTGCTGAGTTAATCGGTATCAGTTATCCCGTATATAAGAGGATCTTGGCACCTCAGGGAGTGGCTGGAATACAGTGGCCTTTCTTTCATGCCCCACTACGCGTTCCTTCCAACATGACTGGGTTCTCAATGCCGATTCTACGAGTGACATCCCGAACGAATTTGTTTGTTCGTGGTACCTACTTTTGATCCGAGCCTGTAGTCTGCCGGAGAACCTGGAGATCTGCACCCACTGAAATCCTGCCTGCTCTTGTGCCTTTTGCGCTTTGGCCATCATGGCTCCAACCTTGCCATAAAAAGGTCAAGCCGCCTAGCATGAAGCTACACAAGTCATCGCTCCTCAATGCAGTCTGCTTCAGGCCTCCTTTGCTTCTTGCTTCAACTTCTTGAGCTGCCCTTTTGCATTGCGCATCCGGAGACGCCTTCATGGTGCCAAGTCAGAGTTCGGAAAACTACTCAGCAGCAAAACTGGCTTCGTCGGCCATGTCACTCCAAGAACCCGCGACATCCGAATTGATGGATACACCTCCTGGAACAATGCTTGGGGCGCGGCTGCTGGGCAAATACGATCGACTGCCTTATCAGAAGAGAGGAAGGATAATACTGGCCGCAGCTGTTTGGCAGTGGTGGTGCCTCAAGGCGTCGTAGATTCTGTGCTCCCTTCGAGTGCGGACCAAACTCTGTAGCCTGCCACGATTGACGACACAAGCAAGCTCATATCACGGAACTCATCAGGACATATCCCGCGGTGCAGTCGCTGAGGCACCTGGCCGCGCTGACATGACGCCTGTGCTCTTTGGCATATCGGCGGCCAAGCACCCCTCTTCGCACAGCTTGAATCTTGATCACCTGATCAGGTGCATGAAGGTAGGTGTTGAAGGAACGTCCCATCTGCGTACTGCCTTGCGCAGGATATTTTGGTACCTGGTCCGTGCCTGGGCAGATGTCTTTGCGCAACTTGGATTTCCGTTGAAGCTTTTTTAAGGTGGGGTCTTCCGTCGAGATATAGAAAGGAGTTGCGAACGCTTAGGCTTAGCAGTCCGTCAAGCGGCAAGAAATCGAAATTACAGCATGATGCATTTCCCAAGTGTCTTCACAGGAGCACATGTACACAGATTGTTTGAAGGCCGAGACGACGACTGAAACGGGAGTCCAGACTTGCCCCCCCCTGTGCCGCTGAGTGGCCCTGCTGTGTCATGTCTCCTAATTCCTCATTAAACCTCCTTTCGTCCTTCGTTCGCCTCGTTAGAGCCTAGGTTCCTCCCTGTCCCTCGGTTATCAAAACAACGAACCCGTGGTTGGAACATGGTTCTGCCCCCACGGTACGACACCGTGCCGACACTGGTGTGGCAAAACAAATGCTGGTGTGTGCAGCTGCTTGTCTGGCAGTTTCTGTACGCTATCATGAACAAAGGTACTGGACAAACTGTCACCAAGATTCCAGGCAGAAGACTTGGTTGACGAGCTGAATCATCTTGTCGGTATGTAGCCCGCATGTCTTCAAAGAAACAACAGGCCTCAAAGAAGACAAGCAAACTGTAGACACCAACCTCCGCGACGAACCGCCGGAAATGGAATTGGGCTCTGCTGTGCGAATACAGAATTTAGATAAACGATGCTCGGACTGCATGTGGATGGAATTTGGTGATTGCCTGGAGTGCATGATGACGTTTCATGACAAGAACACGGACACTGTATGACAACATGGGACGAGTCGCCCTCTGCATGGACTATGTGAACGTCAAAGGAGGCATGGTAAACAAAGTGGGGAAGTGCACATGGCTGGTTGGCGGACCAACTGCATCCTGCATGACTGCATGACACAAAACAGGGACCTGTTTGACTTAGCGGGATATTGTCGAAGGTGATAGGTGGCAAGTTGATTGTCACTTCGTGATGTCAAGTGAAGTTGGACAACAGGGCAGAGGTTGTGATGTTCGGAGTGGGGGAGACCTCCTGCGGGAGACGTTAATGCTTTTTGTCGTTTGTCGGTTACATGCGCCGACTGTGGGGCCAATGAGCTTCGAGACACGTACCGGGAACCTCGCCCAGGCATGTCCGAGTGCGAGTGCTGAAATCCCAAGCTTGTCGGAGTGTGAGTGCTAAAAACGCTAAACCCTTGAACCCCTAAAACCGCCAGCCGCAAAGTCCCAAAACTTGAAAGTTAAACCTTCAACCCAGAAAACAAGCCAAGCTATCCAAGCTGGCGCTGGTCAGTCCACGATGGCTTTGAAAAACCTAGCCCCGCAACCAATAGTGGTAGTAATCGTAGTACGACAACTTCGACTTGCATCAATACGAACCTTCTTTTAAGAGAACACATCCATATTCTACCGACAAAAACAATATGAAGAAACAACTTGTGGCTTCAGAAACAAGGAGTGTATTGCCACTGGCATCCTATGTCCCAAATTGTGAATTTGTTTCAAGCCTACTCTTTTTTTACCTCGAACGAAACATAGGCGTCAACATAAGGCTGTCATGGTGTCAAAGTAGGGCCACACAGGAGTTCTGGCATAGTTTCGGTTGCTTGGCTTTGTTGGGACAGTTCCTGCAACGCTCCCGGTGCGGTTCCTGTTTCCTCGTGCCTGTTACAACCCCCAGAAATGGTTTCCGTTACTCCCCAAACGGCTTCCTGCTAGCCCCGCACCCCCTGCGAAAAACATCCGGTCCGGTGGCTCGACAGTTGAGACACCAAGTGTGGCGAGTTGGGGCATAGCACCGTAACATGACAAGCCTTGCGACTTCCCATATGTAACAGTGGAGTGGCGAAGAAGAGAGGAGCAGAGACGAGCCAAAGCGCAAAGGCGGCAACATGCGTCAACAGGATGGCGAGAGACCAGCGACAGCAAGCCCGAAGCCGTGATTCGCTGAGAGGCGGGGGAATGCTGCGGGCGGCTTGAGGCTCGTAGGGTTGTTTGAAACACGGGCAAAAACTTACAAATCGGACACCTACTCCAACTCCAACGGTTCACGCAAATTTAACGATCAAATTGGGTACAGGCGCACGACGAGCCACGTTGCGTTTGTACTTAGACTGGCACGAAACTGAGGTTTTAGCACGATTTCTGCCAAAAACAGGTTTGTAGGACAGCACGGAAACTATTGCATTCTTACGATTAGCTATATCATCAGCAGCATCATCAGCATCAGCGTCGTCCTTATCATCAACATCCGCATCATTATAATCCTAATCATAGTCATCATTGTGTTTATCAACATCATTATCACTTTTAGTGGTATTTTTATCTTTTTTCATCATAGTAGTCTTCATCATAATGATCATGGCCATGATCATAGTCATCGTCGTCACCGTCATCAACATGGTTAACATCTTAAGCATCTTCATCATCATGGCGACCGTCATCATTGACTTTAACAACATCATTATCGCCGCCATTAGGATTTTTAGCAGGATGATGACGGCAGCGCAAGCCAGGAAAGCGCCATCCCGCCGGCTCGCAAATGCGCACTCGAGAAGATATGCGGCGGCAGGACGCTATTCAGCTCTCCCCCCAATCCCCCCCCACCCCCTAGTCCTGAACAGCAGCAAAACCTTGAAAATGTGTTGTTGAAACACTAAAAACGCATGAAGTCGCATGGCGCCCTATGCGCCCGCTACCATCAAATTGGGCATTGCTGTCCATGGCTTACAAGGCTTCGCCTATCGGTAACGAAGGGAGAGCTTCGTTCCCTCCAATGCGAATACTCAGGAACCCAATCTTGACAACGACCAGCCCTAAATCCGAAAAGTGCCACCAAGCGAAACCCATGACCCCCAGGACATGCCATCCACACCGACCCACCGAAGACCCGAAGAAAAACAAGCCCCCAAATCACCAAGCAAAATAAGAAGCTCCTTTTTGCCCCCGAACAGCGAACCAAGCTCTCGATCCTCCAAAGCAAGTCCTCCCTGACATCGTGGCTGCCTATCGACGCTTGACCCCAATCGAGAAATGCACCCCTGGCTCAAACAAGAATCTCAACGGAGAACCGAAACTGACGATCCCGACCCCTTCCAACAGCCAACGAGCCTCCTCGGTGCCCTCTTCGACATTCGCCCATTTATCAGGAGATCAGCCGGAGGTTACATGCTGCAGGTCTGTACAAGGGATTGCTTACAAACGTACGGGCTCATGCTGGTAAATTCCAGTTGCAATACAAATTCAATTCAGATTTCATGCTGGAACAAGAACACGCAACAAATTCAAATTTCACTGACACAGTTGCCCCGCTTCGAGGGAGGAGTTATGCAGACGACGCAACAACATAGGAGAACTAACAAAAGTTTTTAACCGGAGTTGTGAGGCCTTGGGGACAGCGAGACGGACGACCGAGATGTCATCTTCTTGCGTTCCATCTCTACCGTTCAAATTATCTACAGCATCTTGCAGGACCTCCATCTTATCTATTAATTCGGGCAGTCTTGCCCGCGAATAGCTCAGATGTTGGAATTCAGCCACATCCCTCCTCCTGTCATGCAGTGTCTGAATCATGTCGTGCATATGGCCCAAAGATCGCAAGTGATGCCGCAGGTCCATGCCGCCAAATAACGACCCCAGAGCGTCATTCAGCTTCTTCCTGAAGTATACAACCTCTCGAGCGTCGATCGGTCCCCGTTCTTGTTACGGCTTCCCGTTATGGACATCCTGTTCCTGTTACGGCAAGCACTCCTTTCGCTGGTGGTTCTGTAAGGCCAGCGTCCCTGGCAGTGACACTTCAGCATCAGGAGGAGCCTGTGGGGTCAGTCGCCCGGCTTTCGTTCTGCAGCGTCTTCTGGGTCCCAATCCGGCAGAGTGCCCACCTCACTACAAGGTGGCGTCCCAGTCATTTTTCACGGCTGGTGTTGGCACGGTAGTTGGGCGGGTGTTTTTATTTCCTTTATCGAAACAAAGGAATGAATCGTCGCCCTATTTCCGGCGCAGGTGCGTGACCAGCTGTTGTGGGGGGAGCTGGCAAAACAGTGCCCAAAGGCTTGTCTCTCTCTTTTCACAAGGCGTGAGGCACGCCAGTCGTCAGGGTTATGCAAACCACCACGGCCCCTTGTTATACTCAGGGCTGCGGGGATGTGAAAAAAGCTAACCCCGCTGTATGAAAGAGAAGTAAAGGAACTTACGCTGAACAGGCAGACAGCGGTTCCATATAGGCCGAAACATGCATGAATTGGGCGGATTGTACTCTCGTTCTGCATCTCGAACGGGCCAACAGCTGCTTGGGCGAGCACCCTCAATTTCCAAAATTTCCCTTTTCATGGCATCTTCTATGCAAGCCAGCCTCCCGCTCTCTCTCTCTCTCTCTACAGGGCGTGGCGGTAGTAGTGGTCCGACTGCCACCGCCGTGCGAGTTCGCACACCCGCAGCTCTTGGCGGGGCAAGCCTTGCTTGCTTGATTTGCTTGTTTGCTTGCAAAGGGCTGAGGGACTCAAGCGACCCTTGGCCCGAAGGCCACCACCCCCCACGGCGCGCGATCCGGAGCTCTGAGGTGCCCCTTCAAGGATGGGTGATCACGTGTTCCCCCGACTGGACTTGTGAATCCCATCCCCCGCCACACCTTGCTAAACCATGACCATGAGTAATCTCCCAGGTCTCAGTAGGGTCTTCCACGGATACTCCTTCACTTCACTTCGGGGTTCAGAGGGCGGAACAAGCCCCCCCCGCCGAGAGGCGCGCCCCTGATTAGAAGCTTTAAGGGGCACCAACAGTCGGAGCTCGGAAAAAGACATGGTTCCCCCGTCACTGGTAAAAAGACTTGCTATGCGGTTGGCTTCCAGTCTCAGCCACAGTGGAATAGCCGTAGTCCTGCGTAACCGGTTGGGGTGGGAGGGGGGCCGCCCCTGGTGGTGGTTTGGCATGCTCCGGCTGCATTGGTCGCGGTTGACTGCAGGTAGCGCTGTATCTCGGCCTGCATCAGTGCCGTGGCGTCCTCCGGTTCACCA